CCCCCCCCCCAGACCCTTTTGTCCTTTGGCGTCAGGCACCCCTTCTGGGAAAAGAAGCCGAGGCTGAGAGAGGATGACAGTGCTTTATTCGGCACCCCGCACGGTGGCCTAGCCCGGGGACAACTAGCCGGCTCTGAAACAATAAATAAACCATCATTTTCCTAAACAATAAATAAATATCCAAGAAATAAATATCCGGCAGGGCCTGGAGGGGCCTTAAGTTATTGGGTGGGGGTTGGGGTGGGAGGCCGGTGGAGTCCTGCCCTGTTTAAGGCAGACGAGCTGGAGGCTGTCCCGTTGGCCCGAACTGAATGAAGGGCGAAGGGAAGGGGCTGAGCGGTCACCCCATCAGGGCCGGGAGCCGAATGAGGACCCCGAGGCCGGGGCTGGGTTTCCGGCTTGGGAGAGTAAGAGCAAGTCCCTTACGGCCCGAGCTAAGACGAGCTCCAAGGAGTGCAGCAGCTGGTAGGTATAGAGGAGCTGGGGCCAGGACGGCTGCCCTGACACCCGTGAGAGGCCACTCGGAGCCCCTGGGAGCAGCTCCTTCCTCTCCTCGTCATCTTCCTCCTCGGGGAGGTTGAGCCCCGCAGCCAGCACCTGTGAGGAGAGGCCCACAGGTCAGACAGTGGCCAAGCGGAGACCCCGAGCAAACCCTTGTTCCTTTAGGTGCCCAGTGGTAACAGAATGACATCAGATGCCACGAGGTCATGATTTCCCTGGACAGCCCCTACTCTAGACCTTCCATTATGTCATCGTCTCACGTGTCCTGCCTGATTTTTTGATTCGAGAAAATGGAAGTCACCGAGCCAGATGCCGCGTCCGGGGCGGGCACACGATCCCAGAATCGCCCTGGGCGTGTGGGATGCCCAAGGTTCTCCTCTCGAGGGTCATTTGGGGGTCCGGAGTGGGCAGCAAGGTGGGACAGCCAGTTTTCATGCTGCTTACATTTTATTAAGGATAAAACGCCTGTATCCCTTGGAGATATTCGGGAGGATCTGGTGACGTTAGGGGCTAAGGGAGAAGGGACCGAGCTTTGCTGTAGGGCCTGCTAATGCCAGCAGCTGTTCTGGGTGCTTCAGAGCTATTTGGATCAAGACATCAAGAGGAGGCAGAGATTCGGGGGGGCAGAGCCAGGGCCTCCACACACACACACACACACACACACACACACACACACACACTCAGAGGATCTACAGCATCTCCTTCCAAACTTACCCAACCTGCGGGCAGGGAGTGTTTGAAAAAGGGGGCCCGTGAGCCTCAATGTTATGTGTTGGTCTCTGGGAGTTC